TTGATGTATTTGTTTTTATTATTTACCTTTTTTTCGTTCCCTATTATTCCCTTTTTTTTTTCTTTTTTCCTTCTCTATAAGAAAGTGTCATCAGTTTGGCGGCATTCTATTGTAGAGCGAGAATCTTGACAGGGCGAGCAACAGCCAGCTGGTGAATCTGAGGGAAATAAGTCCAGAGTGAGTTCTGGATCTCTGGAGGAGGCCAAGTGTTGCTAAGCAGGTCGTATCTGGGAAAGACACAGCGGTTTAATGGTTCGCCCTGACCGCATGGATGTTTCGGCATCTGCGAGGTACACCGAGTGTGAGTTTACTCTTTGGTTGGAACACTTATAGATTTTAGATTTCTTCAAATGCCGATGTAGAAATGAAAGTCTGTTCCTATAATAAAGTAAACAGGATTGCCAAAGGAAAAAAAAAGATAATTAGTTAAAGCGATCTATCTTTTGACATTAAAAAACTTGAATAAGTATACTTTTTGTTTCTGTTTTGAGTACTGCAGATTTACACATCATTGCTTTAGTATTTAGTTGAGATACTAATCTTTACTTTTTTTTTTTTATTACTTCAGATTTTGCACTTTCCTTTGTTAGATTTTTTACCCTTTTCTCTCTTCGTAGATTTTTCGTTTTCATTACTACCTTGAGCTGTCACCACTGTAGATCTATCTGTTATTTCTTTGGTGTTTAGTTTAGTTATACCTTCATTCACCCTGAGCTCTATCACTACTATGGATCTATTTAGTTCGCATGCTAATCTTAGCTGGTATGCTCATTTTTTTTTGTTGCTATAGGTTTCGGCCTTTCTTTTTTTCTGGATTCCTTATTTATTTCTCTTCATAGGTTTTTCAATTTCATTATTACCTTGAGCTGTAGATCTATTGTCATTACTTTGGTGTTTAGTTCAGTTACATCTTTGTTACTATATTGAGCTCTGTTATTACTGTAGATCTAACTATCATTTACTTTGGTATTTAGTTAAGATGCTAATCTCTGCTGGTATGTATGTTTTTCTTATTACTTTAGATTTTACTTTTTTCTTTTTACCTGATTCCTTACCTTTTCTTCTCTTTTATAGATTTTTTGTTTTATTATTACCTTAAGCTCTATCACTGCTGTAGATCTACTCACCATTACTTTAGTATTTAGTCTAGGTACTAATTCTCATTAGTATGCATATTTTTTTTTATGAATCTTGTACTTCTCTTTCTTATCTTTTTATTCATCATTACAACTTTAGTTCTTTTTTGCAGATTTATTACTTCCAGTTTATGCATTATTCCTCTGGCTGAATTTTTACTTTTTTCTTTTTACTGGCTTCCTTACCTTTTTCTTTTTGGTAAGCTATATTAATTATATTCTATACACTAAAGCAATTCAAAAAAATATATTTAAGGTAAATAACTAATATTATTTATTTATTAGTATCAGGATTTGCACAGTATATATCTTTGTATAGATCATCTACATGTTGTCTAATTTTTGTATACAAATAGTGTTTACTTTCTTTTGTTAACGATTTAATGCTTATAGTTTTTAGTATAGCATGAAAATTAAAGTTATTGTTTATAATAATTTAAAGGGTACTTCTGTTCTTCTGAATTCTATTAATGCGTAAACTTTTCTGATATCATTAGGTGAATTATTAAACCTAAAATAATGATATTGTTTTATATAGTAAAAATTTTTAAAATGATTATTAAATAATAAAGAAAAATCATTCCACGTCCAACCTAATCTGTCGTTATATAAAATTGCTGTATTTCCTTTGGATGAATTATTGATAACTTGTTCAATATCAGCTAATATATTACTTTTTTAATTTTGATATAATTTTTTTATTTTGCCAAAAAAAGAATCACAAATAAATTTTGTATGGCCTGGAATCATAAAATTTACCATAATTTCTTCATACCAATCTAACATTATTAACTAATAATAAAAAAAAAGCAATAGATTATTTTTATTTTGACTACTACAGTTATCACAAGTAATATGCATTTTTTTTCCCTTCATGGCAAATTTTTGAAGAAACCAATAAACTATATTAAGCATAGTATTGGCACCTTTAGAAATACTTTCTGGAAATTCATCTTCACCTATTACAAAGGTTAATTGAAAATTTTGACCACCTTCCATTTTATATACACCAAACAAATGAACCGAAAATAGACTTTTAAAATAAATTGCTTCTACTTGCTGCGGAGAGTATAGAATTGATACACACTGCACCTAATCATAGCAAACATGTGCAATTGATAAATTTTTTGCACTTTCATTTATATTATTGTTGTAATGTTGTCTTTCCCAATTTGCTGCCTCATGGTGCTAATCATATTGAATCTTAATTTGATTATATTCATCTTTATCAGACTTCGCTACTAATAATTTTCTTTAAAACTTTCACAAACTTTACAAAGATTGCTCGCAGGTGATTGAAATTTAAAATGAAGAATTACTTCTTGCCAAAGTTTTCTAAAAGTAAAATAAGAAATAATTTTTTCATTTTGATCATTTTCACTATAAAAGTGTTTTTTAAATTTATTATAAACAGAAATATAAGTGCTTCTAGTAAGTAAGTAAATAAACAGTTTTGATTCATTTTTATGCTTTATTAGTGACAGTAATCTATTAATAGCTCCATATTGTTCTAGAAAATGGTTAACGGAAAATGTAATACTAAAATTAAGAAATACTTTGCTTTTTACTTTAGGTACATGGCCAGTATTACTATGAATCCTTTCTGTTATACCTTCATTTGTAAATGATCTTGTATTGCTAAAAGAAAATAATTATTTATCCCATAAAGTTTTAAAAATACAAGTTTACAAAGGGGAAAAGAATGGTTATAACAATATCTATAATTATATTTTTTATGAACTTCTAATTTATTATCTATAATTTCAAAACCTACTAATTGTGCTTTTAAAAATAATTCGAGTTTCAATTTTTC